TTACCTTAGCACCAGGTCCGGATCTATGAAGTTCGGATTCCTCCAGGTGGGTGTTGTTTGGATCTGGCTGCTGTGCTCCACTTCTTTCTGCTGCAGGTGTTAGAGTTGACCCCTTTGTGTCACTCTGGCAAGATGTTCTGCTCCTGAATCAGCTGGGTGGGTCTTGCCTCTAGCCTCTTTGCAGGGAGTTCCGTGCTGGGCCTGCAGCCTGGGTCCAGTGAGGATCCACTGGCCTGGGTCGTCTCACTCACTCGCCGCCGGGCCTGTGCTCTGGGTCTGTTCAGGATCCCGCAGGCCCTCGGCATAGTTTCTCGTAGGCAGGACCACTAACAAGAGTGGCTGCTGCAAGGATAGAGGATGGCCAAAGTCCTTGGGATCCTTTCTCCCTTGGAATAAAGGAGAAATCATGATGCAAATATAATGAGACCAATCTCTCTGATTCAGTTAGATAATGCTGCTTGTATGGCTGTGGAGTTAGCATTTGACTAGCCGTATCATCATCCCATTAATAGAAATGATATAATACTTATTCATTCTTAGCTAATAAAAGTTGGAATAGGTTGTTTACCGTAACTAGAATTATAATGGTGATGAGAAAAAGAAGTCAATATTTGAAGAACTTGTCAACTTGTGGGTCAGAGTGTATGTAGCACAGGGAAAATTCTAGGATAGGTCATGTGATGAATGGTGCTTCTGCTATAAAAAGAATAGGAAAGCAGTCTAATTTAATATTAAGGTTGAGGTGTAGGGTTTGGACTGTTATTTCAGTTTGATGTTACGAGTCTGATCTTATGACTTCATGGTGGGAGTAGAATAACACAGAGGTCAGGATAAGACTAAGGAAAGCAGCTTTGGAAGTGATTGCTTAAGGTAAGGTGGGTCCGGCAGTTTTTCACGAATTTTTGTTATAGCTGTGGAAATGGGAAATGTGAGAATTAGTAGGACAACAATGAATGTGTATGGAAATAGATGTATTGTTTTTATTTGGAGTTGCACCAATTTTTTGGCTCCTAAGGCCAATGCAAGACTTCTATAACAGTTAAGCAAGCCATAAGAGTTAGTTATGGAGGTGAGGAATTCGCAGTGCTGTTTTTTTTTTTCTTTTATTGGTAAATAAGAAGCTTATGTTCTTGTGTTATTAGATTCACAATCTTTTTTTTTTTTGTGGCCAGCTAAGCCCATCCTGGGGGCGGGGCGGGGCTGGTATGTGGCGTCGTGATCAAACCACAGTACTTGTGCTTGTCCAAGCTTGCCTAAGCAGGCTCTTTAGTCCACTGAGCTATCTTGCTGGCCCCCACAATCTAATGTTTTAATTAAACAACAATTACAATATAGGTTTCCTAGGATAATTTTAGGATTTAAAGTTCATAGGAGTAGTGGGACAATCTCCTTTCTTCCTTTTGGATTTTAAGCATCCCGAATTGGCACCTTATGCTGTAGCTTTGCTGAATGGAATTTGTTTGCATGCACAGTTCATGTACAGCACCGATTTGGGGGCTCTCGCTCCTCCGAACCAGCTAACCAAAGTTTGAGATCCGCGTAAAGACAAATGCACACAGCTACAGGAAGGAAGAAATGGCCGCAGCGCTCCCTTTCCCATGCAGGTTTTTCTAGTTAATAATCCTGCTTGGCCCCAACATACTTTTTCCTTCAGAAGATGCGGCAGCATGCTGGTAATCCAGCGCCGTGGCTCCCTTGCTGTGAGGTGCCAGCTCCACTGGCAGGGAGAGTACCGGCTCTCCCTCACGAAGTCGCGCTCCAGGGCCAGCGGCCAAACCCAGCTCTTCTGGGTGGCCACCAATAGCTAAGTGACTCTGACCTTTATCAGACGAAGAAAAGAAAGAGACAAAAGCAACCCAGCTACAGCGCTAGTAGCACAGAAGACATCAGGGGAAAGGAATGTGGCCCCAAGTTTTGAAAATACCAAAAAAGAAAAGATACTGATATTATAATCAAATGAAATTTGTCTATACTGTTCTTAGTTCTCTTTTAAAAAATCTATATTTTACCAAATGACCAGTGTGTCACTTTTTTTTTTTTATTTTTTAACATTTATTTATTTATTTATTTATTTATTGGGTGTGTGGCCAGCTCAGCCCACCAGGGGGCGGGGCTGGCTGGCATGTGGCGCTGGGGGATCCAACCGTGGTCCCTGTGCTTTGCCAAGCTTGTTCCAAGTAGGTGCTTTAGACCACTGAGCCATCTCACCAGCCCCAGTGTGTCACTTCTGAGCCTACTCTTCCTCGGGTTTATTTTATAGCATGAGAACATAAGACAGTGACAATGATTCCAAAGGAAAAGTGTTATAGGGTTACGTTTTGAACCTTTGCCTTTTTGGCGGACTTAAATAGGGATGCCTGCCTTTAAGTTCTCATTTATTGTTTTGAAATAAATGAAAATTAGCTGTGCTAATATTTATTACTGACTTCATTCGCCAGGATGGTTTGAGAAAATATATTTCATGTATTTAAACCTGCTTGGGGCTCATTTATTTTAGAAAAGAAAACCAGAGTACATGTAAAATAAATGGCTTATTTAAAAAAAAAAAAAGTGGGAGAAGCTTTTAACTCCTCAAATCTTTTTTGAGAAATCAGAGGCAAGGTGAGGCCCCATCACGACTCTTACCCTAGGTCTGCCTAGGCCAGCCCCTCCCTGAGGGTCCCCTGGGCGCTGGTACCCAGCTGGGTCCTACACGCTGGGGCAGGGAGTCCGGCCAGAACCGAGCCTGCTATACACAGAACTCACAATGAGCAGGTCGCGAGGATGGACGTGGGGAAAAGAGCCACCGGGTGAGATCTAGTCACTAGCAGGCTGTTGCCTGGAGACGCAGAAGGACGCCGCCGTTGCCTGGAAACAGCAGGACGCTTTGCCCAGCCGCTGGAGCTGGAGTAGCGGGCAGGGTGGACCATGGCAGCACGCCAGCGGGACAGAGTGGTCCAGGACGAGGTGCACCAGAACCAGATCCTGCGGGAACTGTACCTCAAAGAGCTCCGCACGCAGAAGCTGTACACGCAGTACCACGTGAACCCCCTGCGCAAGGGTGCGGCGGGGCGGGGCGGGGGGCGGAGGGGCCCGTGGTGCTCCCCGCAAGGTGACCCGCGGGGATGCCGAGCACAGGCTGCGGCAGCTGGGACTGGGTTACAAATATGGAGCGAGCGGCTTGTATGTAGTTTGGATTGTGAGATAATTATATTTTGCAGAATATTTTGATTGTATTTTGGGATTTAAAAAATATGATAAAAGAGTTTTCTTGAAATCGTTTTTAGGCTTCTAATATTGCCCAAAGGCTTCCGTTCATTCCTTTCCTTCTTTCCTTCCCTCCCTCTGGCTTCTGATACCTCTTACACCCTCAGAACTCCGAGCGTGGGGAATGGCCTACCTCGGCCACTGCCCCAGCCCCTGCCAGGCCTGCGCTCCCCTGGCACCCTGCTCTTCCTGCAGCCTCAGCACCCCGCTGCCCCCCTGGCCTGCCCGGAAACTCCACCGACACGTCCCCCCCCCCCCCGACCCACTGCCCTCCGGGCTCCGGTGCAGTCCAGGGCGGCAAGCTGGCAGCCTCCCAGCTTGTCCCATCGGTGCCCCCTCCCCCACCCGTCTGCACCCGGGAGCCCTGCTCCTCCCTTGGGCTTCCCCATGCCCACCGCCAGCCATTCCTGCCTAGAACCATCACCCTGCTGTGCAGCCTGCAGGATGGATCTGTCCCCCTCCTCTGCCCTCCTGCATCTCTGCAGGGCCTGACCTCACCTCTCTTGGGCTCCCACCTCCTCTCTTCCCTCTGCCCCATGCCCTGGCCCGCTGCTGACTACAGCTGAGCTGCCAGGCCCACTGCCCTGTCACTGCCCAACCCTGCAGCGCCCCACAGCTGTGCACTAAGTGCACATCGGTCTGCCTGTGAGGCCGGGTTCCACCCGGTCCACCCCACTCGCCTGTGTACACGCCCAGTCTAAGCAGGCCTGCTCCACTTGGCTGGGCTGAAGATTCTCAGCCCGCTCCTCTCTGGTCCACCCTTTCTGTGAGTGAGTCTCCTACCCACACCCTGCCTCTGCTCACAGCTTTGCCCAGACAGACGTTGTTTTTGGACTTTTCCTCAACTTCGGCACCTCCTTCACTGCTGTCCACAGCAGCTGGCAGTCTGGAGAAAAGGCAGCTTCATTTTGCTTGGAACTAACACAGTCTCTATTTAGACTTGGTCCATGTTGTAAATACGTTCTCTTACTACAGGGAGCAGGGGCTTCTGTGGCTCACAGTGTGGGTGCCTTCAGTCCATGGTTGGTGGGTTCCCAGGTAGAAGCAGCACAGTGGGAGGGGCTGATGGTGGAGAGAAGGGCGTGTCCTGGTGACCAGGAAGCAGAGCGGGAAGGGAGGAGCTGGAGAGTGTGGCCACTTCCACCCAGGCCCCACCTCCAGACCACACCAGCTATGAACTCAGCGAGCCATGGATCCGTGGTTGAGAACAGTGCCCCTTGACCCAGTCTCCTCTCCAAAGCCCTGCCTCTGTACAGAGACGTTTAGGTCTGAATCTTAATAGTGTTCAAGTCCCACTCGTGGCCGCTGGACACTTGGCAGTAGCATTTTAGACCAAGACAGCCACGTTCAAGTCTGTTCCCTGGAGCCCAGCTTGGCACCTGACGTGTGGCCGATCCTGGGAACAGGAATGCTAAATAGGTGCCTGGCCTTGGGTGGGTTAGGGAAGGGAGAGTTTGTGTTCTAACAAGACCTGGTGCTGTTTTCTAGTTCATACCATTACCAGGAAGCCCATGTCGTGGCACGATAACCTGGAGGAGCCTGCGGATGGTGAGTCCTGGCTGCGAGAACATGATGGAGCAGAGAGCAGACAGGGCAACTGCTGGTGGGGCCTCCAGGGTGGCACCACCTTGGGATGAGCCTCTGGTCCTCTACGGAGACCAGAAACTGCACTCCAACTGACTGAGCTCACAGACTGATGCATTCAACCGTAATGCCTAGTCACTGACTGTCAAGCCGACAGGCATGGTCCTGCTGACATGAGCTCCTAATCTATCCA